CGACTCCCCCCCACACTGTTTGCGGTCTCTTGCTTGGATAATTATGTATCATTTTGGAGGTGGTCACTTTAATTTTTGACATATTCACTAGGTTTTACACGTCAAGGCCCTGTTCATCTACCGTTTTTTGACAGGTGATGCCCGATTGAATTTCGCGGCCAAACTATCGACCATGGTCACATATGGTCACCATTGTCATACCGAAATTTCTAACGTTTGTCTCAGTGCAATTTTCCAGGTCTGAAGAGATACAATTTCACAATGTTCATTGAAATCCATAGAATCCTTTTTTTGTGCTCATTCATAGAAATTTCAGATCATCTCATATAAAATCGTCATTTTTCTTCAGAAATCATAGACATCATAGTGATTTGTTTGTCATCTGATGACATCCATAGAATCTTCATCTCCCCATGGGAACCTCCAAACATGGCGTGCTGGAGAATCCCTCCATTGGATATCTTCATGAAATCCTCAATGTGTTTCGCCGTTTTTTTATATGAAATTGGCAAAACTAAACAGATTTAAACAGATTTAACTCCCATGAAAAAAAACCGTATCCAGTTAAAAAATTGCTTAAATGCGATAAAAATCCCATGAAAACCTCAGTGTTTGTCGATTAAAACCTTGTCAAACATTTAAATCCCATATATTTTCACATGAAAATCCAGGCAAATGCCATTCAAACACATTTAAATTTAAACATGTTATCCATAGAAATACCCAGAATCCAACCGCTGCGCCGTGCAGAACCTCTGGACCGCGGCCAGCGACGGCGATGTGGCGCGGGTGGATTCGTTGATGGCACTGGAAGGCTTCACGCCCAGCTCGCAGGAGACGAAAAGGGGGGGAGAGATCATTGGGGGATTCATCCAAAAAAGTGTGAAAACATGTTGAAAATGGATGATTTTAGCGGTTTCAATTGGTTTTCACACAACTTGTTGATGGGTTTCAACCATTTTGAACCATTCTTTATTTTATGTAGATATTTCTGGCAATTTCGAACAGGCTTTAACCATTTTGACCCTGATTAATGAGTTAAATGGGCATGGATCACCATCATCTTTAGGGTTTTCAACAATTCTAAATTGCTGAACATGGGGATATAATGATATTAAAAAACAATTTCTTTGATTGTTGTGATACATTATTAACTTACATGGTTTCTTGGAGACTATATATACGTTATAGGGGTTTGACTTAGCCATCAAACATATGGGGGTATGATTGGTTGTGAAGGTCGACTTTATGAGTGATGTTTTTCAATTTGGGGATTTTGAACCACCAAAAATACTTGGCAGGATATCTATCAAATATTCCAAGATTTCGTATTTCAATCGTAACATAATCATCTTTAATTCATGATATTCAAGGATATTCACCTGTACCGATCGAGTTGGTGGACGAGAGGTGAAACTTGCCCCGAAAAATGCAAAAGAAACAGCCTTTGAGTCGAGTCAGTTATGGATATTCAAGCAACCCCAAACAATGGTTACATATTTTGGGGGCCGAAGCAGCCGTTCGGGCATGACACCAAGTGGGATAACTCACCCACAGTGGCGACGTTTGTTTTTTCACCCAGTCGTAGGATGAGAACGGCTACACCCCGGTGATGGCGGCGGCCTCCTGGGGCCATGTCGGGGTCCTTGGAGGGTAAACATGGAGATGTGGAAAAGCCATGGGTTTTGAATGGGAAATTGATCTACATTCATGGCAATTCATGGTGGATTAAGACATGTTAAGAATACATTTCAAACTGTTGACAGGAGGTAATTATAGAGAGTTTTTTTGGCCTGACTGGCTGATTATGAAGTGAACTGGTAGTTACTGGTAATATATAGCTCTTTGTGAATGGGTTGAGAACTGTTGAGGATGATGAACTAAGCCACAAGAGGGATACCTATTTTCCGTCAGCAGTCTGAGGTCGAGTCGACCGGTCGACCAAAAAATGCCCGAAATGGCCATTTGTCAAGATTGTTCCCCTGCTTAGAATCTTGTTCTAGGAATTCTTCTGGCGGAAATGATGAATCTGATTGCTTATGCTATGTTAGGAATGATGAATCATCTGACTTGTTCTGCAATTCCTCTGGCTGTGGACAGAGATGCACGAAATGCCGCTGACCCAGTGGGCGACCAAATCTTGTAGTTTGATTGACTTGGGAAATACAATCGTAGTCATATCAACTTCATACCGTACTTGAGTTCATTACAAAGCAAAGCCTGCGGAAACAATGCGCTGTCCTCTCATTTGTGGGGTCATCAACCGCCCACAAAAGGGCTATGAGAGGCCAACAAAGGCTGCAGTTCTGGGAACCCCAACAGCGACCAGTATACCCGCAAGCAATAGTGGTTGCTCAAGGCACAAATGTGTGTCGAGGGATGTCGAGGGCATCACCCATGGCACCCATATTTCTTGAATTTTGGTGAGCTGTTGACCATGACTGGCTGGCTATTTGGAGACATTTGCGTTGGTAGTATCTCCATTTCCCTTGGTTCCATAAGATTTTGCTGGTGATGAGCTCTCCATATTCGTTGCTTGAAATCCAGTCTTTGCCCTCCTAATCTCTATGACGATCTAATTGTTGCTCTTTGAATCTCTGATTTTGCTCAGTCAAATCATGAGAATTCGCAAGATTTCTTGGTGCACTCACTTATAATACTTATTTTTAGATTTGATTGGTGCATTTGTTGGTAAAAACCCATTTGTGTTGCTGCCTCGAGTCCGAACTGTTTTCTCTTAAAGTTTTGATTATAGAATCAACATCTATCCAAACAGGTCCCTTTTTTATTTTTTCCCATGGTCTCCAAACAGGTCTAATCATGTTACCATGTTTCGGTGCAAAAAATCATCAGAAGGATCCTTCTTGGGACGGCAGGTGCAGCTGTTGAGTCTGCTGCTTCAGCGTCAGCCCAGCAGCGTTCTGGTGGCCGATGCGGACGGCGACACGGCGCTGCATCACGTGGCGCAGGCGACCGAGCTAGAGGCGAGACGAGTTGGGAGACCGCGGAGGATTTTGATGATGGGATTATAATAGGATAGAATACGTAGCTACATATGTTAAATGGGATATAGGGATTATATCATGGGTTTATACAAGTATAATTTATGGGATATAGATAAAAAGATAATTCATGGCTATATAATGGGATTATATATCCATAATCATGGGTATATAATCGGATTATAATCTCCCAATTATCAACATTACTTGGGATAGAATCCTCTTTCTTGGTTTTTTCCGGGATTTCTCAGGGGCAGCCAGCATGGATTTTTTCTGATCCTGTGGGTATATGGATAATCTATCAACCAACCATTCCGGGATTTTTGAATGTTTAGTCGTCACACGGGAAGTGGCCCACTACCAACATCCTGGTTTTTCGGGAATATCATGGGATATTTTACGGGATGGAAAGAAGATAATCACTATGAAACACGAGGGGATAGTGATGAAGGATGGTTGGTTGATGATCATTACCATTTTATGGGGATATACGATGATGGTGATGATGATGATGATGACGATAATGATGACGATGATATACAGTATATATATATATATAAATTATATATACAGAAAACACACCTCTTACTATACAGCCACGAATATAATACTATATTTTGGGGATAAACTATAAACAGGAACAGCACTAATGGGATTTAACGGGATATTATATGGGGGACACACACACACACATATATATATATATGTATATATAACCAACCAGAATTATTTGGGTCTATAACCAAACCATTTTATGGGGGGTACACACACCATATTTTCAGGATATAGTCGGATATTGCGGGGATATTTTTCGGGATTTAACCAACAAGAATTAACAACTGTGATTTCACTTTAATATACATATGTATAGTTAAAGATCAAACACACTCCAATTCAAATCATCAGGATTTGCATGAAACTGTTGTTTGATTAGCGCATACAAACTTCCCTTTAGTTAAAATCCAATTGTTGATCCTCAAAAAGGGGTATAAAACTATCAACAACTGGATTTTAAGCAGCAACACCATGAATGTTGAAATTGTATCAAGAAAGGCCTTAAGCGGTTTTAAACAAGAAAAACAAGTTTTTCAATTTTTAGGCGCCAGGATTTCAATCAGGGTGTCATCCATCGGAAATCCAAAAAACAGCGGTGGCATTGTGGCATTGGTCGGTTCTCAATGGGGAGCAACTTTCGAATGGTGGTGAAAATTAACCATCGTTAACCACTCAAACTGGGGGATCATCATGTTCTTTTGTGATACAATAGTGAAGTGACTCGTTGGATATCCAGTTGTGATCCAAAGAAATGGGGCTTCATGATCCCTCACAGCTTCTTATGACTGAAAATGGGGTGAAAAACCCCTCCCTCCATGGCATGTTGAAGGAAACATGAAATGATACACAGTGAGATTTTCTGGGTACATCTTTCCCCTCAGATCATCAAATGTCACGATGGCCGATCGCCTGACAGGGAACTGACCATGACAGATACAGCCCTCAAAAGCTCAAAGTGTAATTTGGAGGAGTCCCGTGACAGTTACAAAGTGCTTCACAATCATGGGCTAGTTTACCTTTTTTGGGAATATTTAGATATATTTAGGGTGTGTATAATTATATATATATATATATACACATGCATATACCCATATTTGTGCATATATTACACATATTTGTAGATGTTCCCCTTGCTGACAGGGATGGACACTGAAATGATTGGGTAGGCTTCATAGGGCTTTCTTTTCATACACATGGGGTGTTTTACCTATGAAGTGTATCAATGAAAGCCCCGAAGAAGGGGGGTTTTTCTTCATCACTTTAAATTGCCAGCTCAACATGCATTTTTTGAATTGGATCATGAGGAGCTTCTGAAAAACTGGAAACCTTGGTTAATATCCATCATTTCACTCAAATTTCACTGGCAGTTTAACAAACGGTTCCACCGTTAACAAAAGGTGATGTTTTTCCGATGAAACCAGCCGGGCTTCCGGGCGTTGGTTCAAGCGCCAACCCATTCGCAGCGTAACGGGTGTTCGCGGTGCACAAAAAAAGTGCGGATCATGGAGTTGGAGACAGACGAGAATGATGCGCTGTATGTCACTGGAGACAGCAAAAACGGTGGGACGTCGGGCCGTCGGGGTGTGATGATTTGAGTGATGAAAAAAGATGGCGAACAAAGGCGAAAATTTCGTCACGATGATCAGACGAAACAAAAAAGCCCAGTTGGGGCAACTTCATAGTTACTGTGGTTAAAACAATGTCATAAACCATCGAATCCAAATCACCATAGGTGGGATTCCAACCATCCCCAGTGCTAGTTGGGTAGTTTATGGCATTGTTTAAACATTTTTAACCACACCCCGTCTGTGGCCATGTTGGGATGGAACGTTTCGGGGAATCGAAAAAAACTGATCCAATGGCAATGGAGAATCCACAGATATTTAGCCTCCGGTCATTGAACAGTTACCTATTGAAAATGGCCATTGATATAGTTGATTTATGTTGATTTATGTTGATTTATGTTGATTTATGTTGATTTATGTTGATTTACCTATTATATATAAATGGTGATTTTCCAGAGCTCAAAATTGTATGTTTACCAGAGGATAACCATAGTCATGGTTGCTCCAAGCGATTTTTTGGGTACATGATAGCCAAGCCCCGTACCTGGGGTGGCCATGTTCGGGTTCAGCCTTTTGTGACTCCAGAATCAATTTAGAAAGGCAATGGTGAACATCAAAAAAACTCGGATTTATGGGTGTTCATCCCCCTAAAATATTGGTATTAAGGTTTTGACACCTCCCCAAATGGTTGTGTGGTACCCGAAAACGGGATATTTGTCACCCAGTAACAGTTGCCATTTCATAGGGAAATGCAGCTTCTTGCTGTAACTGGTGGATGGAATGGGGCACTATCTTTTTAGACGAACCCAGAATTGTTGACCAGTACAGACGAGGATGTGTCACGAACAAACTGTCAATTTCTAGTGACAACATGTTCCAAATCGTTCGATTTTGCACAAGCGATGTAGTGGCATTTATTAAATTTATCTACTGTAATGGAATCACGCATGATACAGTTCGCGAAACATACCGTTTTCTACAGATGTGGAAACAAAAACCGTGATGCAACGACCAGTGATTTGACCAACAATGGGGATTGACCCATCGATACATGGCTGGTTTTGGACATTTCTTTCCACTTTAGTCTACCTGTTTGAGATACTCAATCCACATGATGATGGTTTCTTAGCATTATTTTAACTGGTTTATTTTATTTCTCATGACATTTTAACTGTTGCCATGTGTATATATATATTATATATATATATTATATATATTATATATATATTATATATATATATTATATATATATATTATATAATATATATATACAGTATATAATCATGCATATGGTCCTCGACCGGCAGCCTCCCCATGGTATCCCCCCATTCCCTTCCCTGCTCAGCAGAGGCAACAGTGGGGAAAACTAGACCCTAGCTTGAGCCTGCATACCACATGCCATATACATAGATATTGATGGTACATGATTAACGCTACGAACGAAATATTGGAGTAACAGCGTGGAAATGACTGCTATTGTATCCACTCAACAGGAGGTCTCTTCCATTCCAATTCAGCACATCTTTTTGCTCCAGGTGACTGCTGCCGTGATTCTGGGTATCAGCATTCTTGGATTTCTCTGTCATGTTCCAAGATGTGTCAGGGGCATTTGGAAGAGGCTGAGCTTGGTGAAGTGGAACTGTTTCTGCCCGTCGGTCAGGGATGAGTGTCTGTCGGAGCAAATCTGCCAACAGAAGACGGCCTTGAGCCAGAAATTTTCTTGGTACGTTTCTAAGCTTGGTGCAGGGGTGAACGATTGTGAAGGGAAATTCTGAGGATGGGAGACATGGAAAAAAAACTCATGGAGTTTGATGGCTGTTGGAAGTACTATTCACCTTTAAGAGGCTTGTGTTCGCAAGGGGATGGACTTCCAGAAACTAAGCTGGACCGGTCCAATTTTTCTTACGCCAAATCACTGTTCGCAATTTGGGGTGTAGATCTGCGAGGTTTAGATTCGATATCTTTCAAATCTCAAAACCCCACAAAAACCCAGAAGTTCATGTCTGATTGTGGTATCACCAAGAAGCAGTAATGAAACGAAAGAAACTGCGGACCTGAACGGTTTTTTCTATCCACGGGTTTCAGACTATGACCGAGACCCTTCCCGGAGGTCCCCACCAAGAGGCAGATGCAAGTGCACCTTTTCACTCCAAGTTGGGCTCGGTAAATTGAGCCAGTCAGTTGATTGGCACTTGAGCCTTGAGCCAAGTTGCAACAGTCGGAGGACGTCTCAACGACTGTGAAAACTTTAAAAAGACCTTAGTGGGGGTGCAGTGGTACTCTGTGCATGTTTCCCAAACCGCACTCCCCCTTCCTGCTTGCAGGAATCCAGGTTCCCCAACACCAAAAACAAAAGCTTCAGGGGTGGCCACGTTTCCTCTGGGAACTCGCCCTTCCCCCAGCCAGAAGGGCGAAGACCCTCGTGTGCCATAGTCCCAGGCTGGTGTTGGTTCCCCCTTCATCCAAGGGTCGCGTGGAGTTCCACTTCGGGTTGACTCCAAAAATTGAAAAACTACAGCCCTAACTTCGTAGGTTTTGAATTCCCTCTCTCACCAGCGCTGTCCTCGAAGAGCGCCCAACGGTGTTCTTTGGGTCCAGCAGCTGATGAGCTTTTCCCTGTATTGGTCTTTTCCACCGGCAGCTAATGATCTTTTCCTTGGGTCTTGTTGATCTTTTTCTCCAGCCACCGATGTACTTTTCCGTGTGACCTATTTCCTTTTGGGTGAGCTTTTCGCCACATCTCTTGGGTCTTGTTTGACAAGGAAAACGGTGTATCCCACCCACTTGTCTTCGACCCACTTGGTCTCCCAGTCAAAATCCAAGATTATTTTTCGCTCGTTGCTGTCCAGGGTATTCCACAAAAATGTGACCCGGTAAGGATCCAACTGGTCGACCTTTTTCGGTAAAGTGGGGTGATCTGGATGAAATGAATTCTGTCTCCATTTGTAATGGATTCTTGTGATGATTCGTCCATAGTCCCCAGGGGCTGGAACATGCCACATGTCAATGGCCTGACCCTGTTCTTCAAAGCCTGTTACGGCCGGCGGCTTTGTCATCCATGCTGTGCCCTCTCCAGAGATGATATATTCCACCTCACGCATGACCACCTCAGGCATGTAAACTGTCCAGCTGGCTGGGTCTTCAGGACGTCGAATTAAATCTTGTCCCGGACGAATCCTTGGTCTTTGGGCCGGTGGCGGAGTCTCCGGTTCTGCTGGCCTTCTTGGTGTCTGGGAAGACTCAGTGTCCTCCTCCGGATGCTCCTTGTACCACTGTTCCCATTCAGCCTCGGTGTATTTGTTCTTCTTCTTCTTTTTCTTTTTCGGTTCCCATTTGTCACCCCATGCACCATCCCACCAATACCATTCTCCTCCATCCACTTCATAGTAAGCCGCTGCCTTAGGAGCTGCCTTAGAGGAGGAGGCTCGGGTCGTTTCTGCAGGTTTTTCCTTTGGCTCTGCAGGTATTGCCTTTCCATAGACTGATCTCATCCTTGCAAGGTAATCAGCCATTTTTTCTCCTTCTCTCTGTTCCTTCCATTTTCCCCACTCTTCATCATCGGTGGGTACTTTTTCCTCTTCCTTGGGAGTTGGCATCGACGGTTTTTTCGGTGGCGGTCTCCCAGGGGCTTTCATACCCTCTGGCAGCGGAGCTATCGGTCCCTTTGGGACCCTTTCCGAACCTCGCGATTCGGCTGTAGAAGGGCCAGGGCTTTTTTCACTCTCCGATCGCCTTGTTGTCGATTCCTTTTCCCTGTGTGGCGACCTAGATCGCCCTGTTTCACCCCGTCTCCGACGGTCTCTTCCTCTTTCCCTTTTATCATGGGCGCGATCAGCATCCCTCTCTTCGGTTTTTCTTCTTTTTTCCTTTCGATGATCTTCTCCCGGACGTGGTTCTTCTTCCTGATGTTCATCTTTTTCTACAGTTGGCGCCGCCGTGGAATGACCTTCTCCCCCACGTACATCTTTTTCTCGATCTTTCAGGGCCAACTTCACCATCAGTTCAGCTTGTTCCACCATTTGTCGATTGAACTGAGGAACCACCAGGAGTGTCAAATGGCTCATAAGCCATCGGAAAACTTCCCACACCAGGATGACCATCATGGCATAAAGTATGCCAAAAAACTGACCAAAGACGCCTTGCGAAACATCTTCACCGTCCATAGCTGTCACTGGTGCAGCAAGGCAGACGAGGACGCTTTTGAGCCCAAAACTTTTGGAAAAATAAATTGCTGCGGACAACCCCAATTCCCTAACGGAAAAACACTTAAATCCCGTTGGTTGCGGAGCTATCCCCTTTGAGGTTTCAGGATGGTTTTTCCCCTTACCTACCACATTAGAATTCCCCAAAAACCCAATTCCCCAAGTTGCAACCAGATCCCACGGTTCTGTGGAACCCGACCTTGGTACAACTTCAGCAGCTCGATGTTCTTCTCGATCGGACCTGGCACAATCCAAGTCCCAAGGTTTCTCTTGTCCATCACCCAGGATGGTCTTAGGGATGGGTTCTTCTTTTTCATAACTGTGCAATTGGGCAACATGACCGTGATGATCTTGTACCCGCAAAACTTTCAAAACTGGTGGATTTTCATCCCAAAAATAAACCCGTTTGGTTTTGAGTTACCCCTTTTGGTCTTATTACCCCGTTTTAGGATACCCCTAGGTTCTTCTTCTACAGGGTGTTCAACTTGTCCAGGAATGTTCTTCTTCTCCAAAAACGGTAAGACCGACTCCAACTGGAACCGATCCTTGACCACGGATTCAGTGACGCGATACGCATCAGCCAGTACTTGCACCAGCCTTCCAATGGCAGTGCTCAGGGCTTCATGCCGGAATTCGGCTAGTTCTGGATATTCCTCGGCCAGACCAACCACCTTTTTCACCACTGATACGCACCGACCAGCGATATCTCGGTAGTTGTCCCAGGAGGAAGTCTCCTGGTCTGGTTCTTCTGGACGTTGTTCTTCTCCCAGAGGTTGTTCTTCACGATGGTTGGACCCCATTGATGTTTCCTCATTTGGAACCCCGGAACCTTGGTGATTGACGAACCTCCAGAACCTTTCCCAACTGGGCTTCACAGCGATGATCTTCGTCAGGAAATCGGCCACAAGTTTTACCCCTGGAAGGTGACGGATGATCCAACTACCATCCTTTAACCTTTCCCTTAGGGCTGTTGCTCGCAACCGCAAGTGGCGAGTCCTCCACGGACCGTCAGGATTTTCCAAGATGGCTATTGCAGCCGTGTTGTCTCCGTAGATGATCTTCTGCCCGATTTTCCGTCCTTCCACGACCTCTATGAGAGACGCCAGAGAGTCTCCCATGACCATGGATTCCAAGTAGGACATCAGTTCCCCTTCGGCGGTGCTCAACACCACAAAAGCTTGACGGCTGGCTTCCCATTGAACCAACCCTCCACCATAAAAACCTAGGATACCCTGCAGTGATCTTTCGCCCGCAGGGGCAAATGAAATGTCCGAGAACATTTCGACTTGCTGCATCTCCCGGTGAAATGGCAGGTCATCTTCGGGACCACGATCATCACTTGTGCAAACCCCATAGCTGAGATGTTGAGTTTCGGTTCCCTTCAGGTAACCAAACACCTGTTGTGCGGTTTTCACCACCCATTTGGGCCGTTTGTTCACCTGCCTTCCCAATTGGCTGACGGCGAAACTGATATCCGGCCTTGTCCTTATGGACAACCACAACAACTCGCCCACCACCGTTTGAGCTTGTCGGATGTTTTCAAGTGCTGGTTGTTCTTCTTCCGGAAGTTCGGCATCCGCTTTCGTCATCGGAACCGGTCTTGGGTGTTCTACTTGATGTCGATTCAACAGATCCCGAGTGTAGGACTGCTGTCCCACCTTCAACTTCTTGTGATCCCCTTGACCGCTCCATTGGAGCTCGAACCCACAAAATCGAACCCAGCCTTTGTGATCAACTTCTTCAGGAGTGGAGCAAGTCCATTCTTCCTTCAGCCTCTTCAAGAAGCTGTGTTTGGCGTGAGGTTCCGCAAGAACCATAAGATCGTCCACATAGACGACCGCCAAACCCACTTGCCGATATCCATCAGGACGTACTTCTTCTCCCGGAGCGTCACCACCTTTACACAGGATTCTCCACACATTTCCTTCCGGCGTTTGTTCCGGCTTGTACTCCTTCTGCATCTCCCCCGGGCTTGCATCTCCCTGCCATGTGAACCGCCGCATTGTTTGGTCGCGGTACACTGCCCAATGGGCAGGACTGGATTGAAACCCATACAGGGCTTTGTCGACAAGCCAGACCTCATCCGGTTGGGTAATCCCAAAATCAGTCATGATCCTGGGCGGCACCACCGCCACGGTTTTGGCACCTTGTTCCACCGGCCGAGGAGCCAGTAGAAAAGCGGTCTTGATGTCCGTCGTGGCTACATCCCATTGGTGATGAGCTGCCTTTCGCAATGCACACCTTATCAGAACCCCGTCCGCTCCACTGGCATACAGCAGAGAGGAAGGCATGGGATCCGCTTCCGGTGATGCCAAGTTGCCGCAGATCACAGCGCGACATTTGTATCTCCCTCCAGCCTTGATCACACAGACCAATTTCCCCGGCACCAATTCGGCTTCAGGGTCAATCTCGGACCTTTTGACTGGTCGGATAGCTTTTGTTTCTGCAGTCAAGGATTTGTACTCGGCGAGCATCGAGTCGTACCATTTTTCCTTTTCCATTCTCACCTTGTGGAGAGGGACTGT